ATTTTACTTCTTATACATTTTACTTCCTCATATGTCATAAACCCACAGTACTGTTCTGAAATATATTTATTTGAAATATATTTTCCCTAGGGCCCAGATTCACAGGTATTTTTTTCTTCAACACTTTAAAGAAGTAATTCTGATGTCTTTTGGTTTGCATAGTATTTCTGATGAAAAGTCTGACCTATTTTTCTCTGTAGATAATGTGTTATTTTTATCTCCTTTTTTTTTTTTTTTTTTTTTTTTGTGAGACAGAGTGGCTCTGTCACCCAGGCTGGAGTGCAGTGGCACGATCTCGGCTCACTGCAAGCTCCACCTCCCAGGTTCACGCCATTCTCCTGCCTCAGCCTCCCGAGTAGCTGGGACTACAGGTGCCTGCTACCACGCCGGGCTAATTTTTTGTATTTTTAGTAGAGACGGGGTTTCACTGCGTTAGCCAGGATGGTCTCGATCTCCTGACCTCGTGATCCGCCCTCCTCGGCCTCCCAAAGTGCTGAGATTACATGCATGAGCCACCGCGCCCGGCCTATCTCCTCTATTGTTTTTCAGACTTTTCCTCTTATCATTGAACTACAGCAATTTCATTATGACATAATTGTGATGATTTTTAGCAATTTGATTATGTTTTATTTTCTTTTTTTGAGATGGCTTCTTGCTCTGTCACCAGGCTGGAGTGCAGTGGCACCATCGCGGCTCACTGCAATCTCCACCTCCCGGGTTCAAGCCATTCCCCTGCCTCAGTCTCCACACCCAGCTGATTTTTGTATTTTTAGTAGAGACAGGGTTTCACCATGTTGGCCAGGATGGTCTCGATCTCCTGACCTTATGATCCGCCCGCCTTGGCCTCCCAAAGTGCTAGGATTACAGGTGTGAGCCACCATGCCCGGCCTATATATTTTCTTTTCTTTTTCTTTCTTTTTTTGCTTTTTCTTTTCTTTTTTTTTTTTTTTTGTACTGGCGTCCAGTGGTGAGATCTCAGTTCACTGCAACCTCTGCCTCCTGGGTTCAAGTGATTCTCCTGTCCCAGCCGCCTCAGTAGCTGGGATTATATGCACTTGCCACCACGCCCGGCTAATTTTTTGTATTTTTAGTAGAGATAGGTTTCACCATGTTGGCCAGGGTGGTCTCGAACTCCTGACCTCATGATCTGCCCACCCTGGCCTCCCAAAGTGCGGGGATTACAGGTGTGAGCCACTGCACCCAGCCTATATGTTTTGTTTTCTTTGTGTCAATCGTGACTGGATTTGTTCAGTTTCTTAAGTCTATGGATTGATATTTTTCATCAAACCTGGATCTGTTTCTATTGAGCATTATTTCTTTTGGTTATGAGTTATATATTGCTGCCTCGCATGTCTAGTAATATTATATTGATTGCTAGTAATTTTTAATTGAATGCTAGATATGTAGTGTTAAATTGTTGCTTGTGTGGATTTTGTCTTCCACTATAGAACACTGATGTGTGGGCAGGTTCTGAAGGGGGCAATTAAGTTACCTGTGGATCAGCTTGATCTTTTTAAGACTTGTTTTAAACCCTGTTAGGGTTAGACTAGAGTGGCTTTCACCTTAGGACCAGAAGGAAAGGTCGTACCTACGCAAGCATGACCTTTCTGGATTGAATGCTGAGTCTCTTCTCTCTACTCTAGCTGGTTGATCACAGATGTTTCCCAGGCCTGTGTGAACTCTGGGAATTGGTCAGTTTACAAATCCCCAGTAATTGTTCTTTTCCCGGTGGTTTTTTGCCTGGACTTGTGTTCTCACCTTAGCATACAGTGCAGCTTTGTGTGCCAGAGTCTGAAGGGGACCCCTGTGCAGATTTCTAGAGTTCTTTCTCTCTGTGTAGCTTTCTCTTTTCTGGTATACTGCCTCATAAATTCTGACTGCCTCAGCCTCCCTGAATCCTGAACTCGTGAACCCCAATCTCATTCTCAATTCAGCAGGAGCAACATGCTTTGTTTGGGCTTTTCCTCTTTTGACCATGGCATTTTTGGCAGGCATGGAATGTGTCTACACACAAGAAGCCAGAGTCAGTGTATGGTTTCTTCACTTTTATCCCTTCTCTTGGTAATCAAAGCCCTGTACTGCCTGTAGTACAATGTCTAAAAATAATTGTCCCATATATTTTGTCCAGTTTTCTCATTGTTTGCTATGGAAATGAAAGTCTAGTATCCGTTACTTCATCCAGTCCTGAGGCAGAAAACCTTCAGCCATCGACCAGGATCCTTAACCCATGTTCCCTGAAGAGTTGGAACCTGCTGCTCAGTAAATGTATAAATTGTATATCCTGTGGCAGATTTTATCCAGTTAAGCTTTTCAATTAATACTATAGCTGTTTGGGTCTTTACTCTCTTGTTTCTTTGTTTAGTATGATTAAAAATGTGACACATATTTGCTATATTGTAGTGAGACTTGTAGTTTTTAGAAAATATACTTTAAAAGTAGTTTGAATTCTGTGTAACTTTTAAAACTTTTAATCAAAAAATTTTTTTAGTTTTTGTTTGGATTTTTCATATAAACATATTTTTTCATTCAAATTGGTTATATTTAGAAACCGTTAAGCTATAATGTTGAATAGAACTTGTGAGGTTTCCTATCACTTAATATAGTTTAAACTATGAATAAAGGACAAGAAACTGAGTTGTTAATGTTCATTTTGTCTGGGAACCACCACATCTGCCTCAAAGGCTGAGTAATCGTGACTTATTAGTGTGGTTATGGAAAATATATGTCAGTTTAGTTGAGTGAATGAACAGACTTCTTTAGAAGAAAGAATTCTCAAATCAGAGACTTGAGAAAACATTCTCAAATCAGATTGTTGAAAATTTCCCTTTTCAGAATTACTAAAAATTAAAACTATGAAGAACTTTTATTTTATTGGATAATGTGTTTAATCTGTTAGGATACATTTTTTATATTTCTGGAATGCAAATATAGCTTTTTCTTTCCTATATATCCCAGAAATCTCATTATTTTAGCTCCCAGGGCAATTTTATTTTTTGTTCACTTGAAACTCATTTCTAACTTTAGCTGTAGACTGTACCTGTAGCCAAAGAGGACATTACATGGGGACAGCATGGACAAACTCTTAAATTTTCTTCTTTTTCACTTATTGGCATTCATATGTCTCTTTTGTGTTTTCTAACAGTAAAGGTGGAAGTTACAGCTGATTTCTTTTTATCTTTTTAAAATTATGTCTGACAGCTATAATTGTATGAGGAGAAATGTTTCACAAACTATGCAGTTATTTTGAATATCACAAACTTTGGGTTTTTTTTGGTAGTATCACAAAATAATTCTTTTTTCCCCTAACTGTGAAATCTCTTGTGTGCACATAGTGTTTAAAGAAACAATTGTAAATTTCATGGTTAATCATAAGTTTTCAAAAACCTAATCAAAATATTCTTTTCAAAATCTTCTATACTTATTTTAATAGTTTAATATTTCTACATTTCCAAGAATTAAAAGTCCCCCAAAAGAGGAACAAAGGCTAAAACTTCACATCGATTTTTTTTTGATCCAGAAAAAAACTAATAATTAACTGATTCAGTGCCAATGATTTCATTTTTTAGGTATTATTTTAACAGAAAATGCCAATTCTATTTAGAGATAAGTATCACATGTGTGAACGACTTTGTATTTTATATTAATGTCAAACAAAATTTTATTGGTAGTAGAATATCTTAGTTTTATTTTTATCACTAGATTTTATGTACTTTGAACCACAGATTCTTTCATCATGTGATCTTAAAATACTTTCTTATACACAGAGCCGACTTACTTTTCTGTGGGACTGACTCATTTATGAAAAATCATTGGAGAAATCTTTAACAGAAATCTTCAGATTCAGAAATACTCGCACAATATAGTTACTAATAAAATCTCGTGTGTGTATATATGTAAATAATTTTATTCTACAAATAAAGTATTTCTCTTCATAATAGCTGATGGCTGCTAGTTACTGTATGCTAGAGGGCATCTATCAACCTATGCTTAAGGGACCCAGAAATTTATATTTTAACCAGCTCCCTAGTATGCGGACTCTTCGTCTTGTGCTTTTAGGAACCATTGTGTAAAACTCATTGATACTGGTTTCACAGTTACATTTTTGCTTTATGATCTCACTAGGAAAGGTTATGTGAGGTGGTACATCACTAACTGTTTTTAAGTAAGGACATAAAGTGATATTCTCAAATTGTGCCTAAAAGAACAGTGGCTCAGAAAGTTGTTTTTTTAATAAAAGGAATAATCTAACAAATGAGAAATATAGATACATGAAATAAAAGTCAAGCAAGGAATTACATCAGTGGTTGCCGGGGACTAGGACTTGAGGGAGGGAATTGGCCACAGAGGAACACAAGATATTTTTTTTTAATAAGGCATGGGGCCTCGTTCCATCATCCAGACTGGAGTGCAGTGGCAAAATCATAGCTCACTACAGCCTCCAACACCTGGGCTCAAGCAATCCTCCTGCCTCAGCTCCCGAGTAGCTGGAACTACAGGCACATGCCACAGTGCATGGCTAATTTTTAAAATTTTTGTAGAGATGAGGTCTTGCTTTGTAGCCCAGTCTGGTCTTGAACTCCTGGCTTCAAGCAGTCCTTCTGCCTCAGCCTCCCACAGTGGTGGGATTACAGGCATGAGCTGCCGTGCCTGGCCAAGGGATGATTTTTGCAGTGATGGAAATGTTCTGTATCTTGATTGGTGTAGTTATATGGCTGAATGTATTCGTCAAAGCTAATTGAAATGTAGACCTCAAATAAGTGACTTATTATGTGTAAATTTTACCTCAATAAATCTGATTTTTTTTTTAAGTCAACCAGGAAGAGATTCTGGGAAGGATTATTTTCTTCATGTTACTACCTGCATCTTGAAATTATTTAGAATTATTTTGTTCTTTGAAAGCTAAGATTTTTATTATATGGCAATTAATATACTATTAAAATAACGTGTATTGATAATTTTTTAGTAGTTCTCATCAGAAGTTTCTTGTATTTGTTTTATAGGGTCCACATATAGCCTCAGTTACATTAGCTGCTTATGAATGCAATTCAGTTAATTTTCCTGAACCACCCTATCCTGATCAGATTATTTGTCCAGATGAAGAGGGCACTGAAGGAACCATTTCTTTGTGGAGTATCATCTCAAAAGTTAGGATTGAAGCCTGCATGTGGGTAAGATATGCATTTTCATATTTGTTTAAAACTAACCTCACCATCTTGATAGTGTGTTGTACCTTTTTGAAATAGAATCTAAACATATTCCTTGTCAGTAAATGATTCAGTAAGTAACCAGCTACCTACTTCTAAGGCAAAAGAAACCTTTTAGAGCATCTCCTCTTCATGAATGGCATTGGGAAGAAAGGCATGAACCATATGTATCACAAAGCAACGGAGGCCAAGTAGACTCCAGCAGGGAAAGGGAGTACAGATGATGGAACTACAGCTGAGCCTTGAACAATGTGTGGGTTAGGGTTGCCAACCCCCTGTGCAGTAGGAAATCCACATATAACTTTTAACTCCCCAAAAACTTAACTACTAATAGCTTCCTGTTGAACAGAAGCCTTAATGATAAATAGTAGATTAACACATATTTTGTATGTGTTAATATAGTATTATATACTGTTACAAAGAAAATCATGAGGAAAAGGAAATATATTTATTATTAATTTAGTGGGAATGGATCATCATTTCCACTCCATTTTCATGTTGAAGAGACTGAGGAGGAGGAGGAGGAGGAGGGAAAGAAGGGTTGGTCTTGCTGTCTTAGGGGTGGCAGAGGCAAAGGAGGTGGAGGAGGTAGATGGGGAGCCATGAGAGGCACACTGATTATAACTTGTACTGGCACAGTTCAAATCCATGTTGTTCAAGGGTCAACTGTATACTACATTATAAAATTTGTTCCAGTATTTCTATACCTGATAAACTCTTAGAATTTGTCTAAGAGTTATATAAAATATATATAAATATTAGATTGGTAATATATAGTTATATATCATTATTAGATTGGCAAATGTCATGTCTTTTTTAATTTAAAATTTTATTTTTATTTGGCAAATAAAAATTGTGTGTGTATATGTATGTATGCATTATATTTATTTATTTGTTTGTTTGTTTGTTTATTGAGACAGGGTCTTGCTCTGTTGCCCAGGCTGGAGTGCAGTGGTGCCATCTCAGCTCATTGCAGCTTCAACCTCCTGGGCTCAAGTGATCCTCCCCATATGTCTTAGTTTTAGATTTAAAATACTGTGTTCTGGCTGGGCCTGGTGGCCATCCCTGTAATCTCAGCACTTTGGGCGGCCAAGACAGGCAGATCACTGGAGGCCAGGAGTTCGAGATCAGCCTGGTCAACATGGTGAAACCCTGCCTCTACTAAAAATACACAAATTAGCCAGGCGTGGTGGCGCATACCTGTAATCTCACCTACTCAGGATGCTGAGGCATGAGAATTGCTTGAACCCAGGAAGCAGGGGTTGCAGTGAGCCGAGACCCGCCACCGCTCTCCAGCCTGGGCTACAGAGCGAGACTACATCTCAACAATAACAACAAGAAAATACTGTGTTCTTAGAGGACTCATTTCATTTTCTGAGTTGTTATAATGCTAACTAAAGTAAGGTCAGACATTTCTTAATATAAACCAAGCCTTATTATAGTAAAGGTATCAGGCTGTATGGTCGTATATGGCAATTTTACTTTTAGTTGTTCCAGTTGTTCTTTTTGTGGTTTGCTTAAGTTTATTTTATAAAATTCTTTGGACAGCATGTTAAGTGGCAGATGGATTCTAATCTACACAATTTTTTTTTATGCCTAAATTTTTTTTTTTTTTTTTTTTTGAGATAGTCTTGCTCTGTCGCCCAGGGCTAAAGTGCAGTAACACCATCTCAGCTTACTGCAACTCCGCCTCCCAGGTTCAAGCGATTCTGCTGCCTCAGCCTCCCTAGTAGCTGGGATTACAGGCACCCACCACCACACTTGGCTGATTTTTTGTATTTTTAGTAGAAACGGGGTTTCTCCACGTTGGGCAGGCTGGTCTCGAACTCCTGACTTCAGGTGATCCGCCTGCCTCGGCCTCCCAAAGTGCTGGGATTACAGGCATGAGCCTCCTAACCCAGCCCTGTATGCCTAAATTTATTCAGGTATCCATAGGAATAATTCATTGGTTAAAGACTTCTGTTTCCATTTGAGTTTTTTTTTAAACTCATTTGGATTTGTTATGTTCCTGTAATTTTTTCCCACTAACAATTTCTTAGGAAATTAAAGATTATGGAACAGATCACTTACAAATCTTAACTCATTAAAATGAGCATGAATACCATACCCTCAGAAGAAGCAGTTTTGAAACACAGTTAAGTGTTAGCAATTATGTTTTGCTTTAAAAGAATTATGAAGGAAATACCATAATGTTGAATTTGTTGAATACGAAAGACAGGAAAAATTGTCATGTTTCCTGTTGCTCTTTTATAAACACTGGAAACAAATTTATTATACTAGTTGCATATGCTTTATAAATTTGATGACATTAGTCTTTTGATGAAAAAAATGTTAGAATAACAAGATACTTGGAACATGCTAGAAAAGGGACTTTGTATGTAAATTTGTCTTTTTTTCTTAATATTATACTTTTATTCTTTCAAAAATTATTTACATTGCTGGATTAACCTTAAGGCCAACAAATGAAAACCACGATCTCAGAGGGCCGCGATAACTGCCTCCTCCAAATTTCTATAGTATATATTGTCTGTAGTGCTTATTAGGCCTGGCTTTTACATGCTTTAAATTAATTTGGCTGGTATGGTGGCTTTCTTCTCCAAATAATATTTAGGATCCTAAAAAATATTAAATACACCTTAAATGTATTAGCATCACAGTAATCAGCATCAAGTTTTGCACATAGGGCTGAGCACGGTGGCTCACTCCTATAATCCCAGCACTATGGGCGGTCGAGGTAGGTGGATCACTTGAGGTCAGGGGTTTGAGACCAGTTTGGCCAACATGGTGAAACCCTATCTCTACTAAAAATACAAAAAATTAGCTGGGCATGGTGGCTCACACCCGTATTCTTAGCGACTTGGGAGGCTTAGGTAGGAGAATCACTTGAACCCGAGAGACAGAGATTGCAGTGAACCAAGATTGCACCTCTGCACTTCAGCCTGTGCAACAGAGCGAGACTCCATCTCAAAAAAAAAAAAAATTAATTAATTTTTTTGAAAAAGTTTTGCATGTAGTATAGGAATGTCAATAAATACTGATTAATAGGTCAAATGTTTGCTCTTCCTTCCTTCTTTGTAACTGTCTAGTTATATTAAAAATACAGCACACACTAAGTTATGTTTAAATTTGTTAATATTGTTCTCAACATTTACAAGGACAGTCTTCAACAAATGGTGCTGTGGGCTGTGTGTAGTGGCTCACGCCTGTAATCCCAGCACTTTGGGAGGCCAAGGCAGGTGGATCACCTGAGGTCAGGAGTTCAAGACCAGCCAGACCAACATGGTGAAACCCCACATCTACTGAAAATATAAAACTTAGCTGGGCATGGTGGTGGGGGCCTGTAATTTCGGCTACTTGGAAAGCTGAGGCAGAAGAATCGCTTGAACCCGGGAGGTAGAGGTTGCAATGAGCTGAGATCACACCATTGCACTCCAACCTGGGCGACAGAGCAACACTCTGTCTCAAAGGAAAAAAAAAAAAAGTGGAGGGGCAGTGGGCTGGAAAAACTGAATATCCACATGCAAAAGAATGAACTTGGACCCTTACCTTACACCCTATGTAAGAATTAATTCACTGGGTGCGGTGGCTCACGCCTGTAATCCCAGCACTTTGGGAGGCCAAGGCAGGTGGAGCATGAGGTCAGGAGTTCAAGACCAGCCTGGCCAACATAGTGAAATGCTGTCTGTACTAAAAATACAAAAAAATTAGCTGGGCATGGTGGCGGGCGCCTGTAGTCCCAACTACTTGAGAGCCTGAAGCAGGTGGATCACTTGAGGTTGGGTGTTCAAAACCAGCCTAGCCAACGTGGTGAAAGTTTGTCTCTACTAAAAATACAGAAATTATCCGGGCATGGTGGCGCATGTCTGTAATCCCAGCTACTCAGGAGGCTAAGGCAGTAGAATCACTTGAACCCGGGAGGCAGAGGTTGCAGTGAGCTGAGATTGTGCCACTGTACTTCAGCCTGGGCAACAGGGTGAGACTCTGTCTCCAAAACAATATTAATTAATTAATTAATTAATTAAATAAAATAAAAACTTTTTTTTTTTTTAAGACAGAGTTTGTCGCTCTTGTTGCCCAGGCTGGAGTGCAATGGCGCAATCTCACTCACTGCAGCCTCCGCCTCCCGGGTTCAAGTGCTTCTGCCTCAGCCTCCTGAGTAGCTGGGATTACGGGCATGCGCCACCATGCCCGGCTAATTTTTTTGTATTTTTGGTAGAGACAGGGTTTCTCGATGAAAAAGATAGATTTTTTTAAAATTCCTGCTCTCCAGATTTTTATCATTAAACTTACATTTCTTAATATAAAAGCACCATGCTGCAGATTTGCTTGTGAGTCCACTTGACAAAATGTTTTTTCCCCACCTTACCCAACAAAACTTTTTAAAAGTACAAATTCAGAATTTTTGTCTTCCCTAAAATCTTTGAATAAAATTAGCACTCCAAGAAGATGTTGTGTTACCAGTTGGTTTGCATATTTTGTGCGTATTAAATTCTTCTCTAGTTCAAGAAGGATTGAAGGGTAATAAATTTGTATGTAGTAGATGGTTTGGAGGAGAGCTTTCTGAATTATTGGTTGACTATACATACCACTTATTTTGCAATAAGGAAGCCAGTCATTCTCTCTCCTTAATTAAACTTAGGCTGACAGTTTTTAGTGTTCCAACAATTTATGTTTTGTTTTACATATAAACAGATGTAAACTTAGGCTGACAGTTTTTAGTGTTCCAACAATTTATGTTTTGTTTTGCATATAAACAAATGTAAAGAATTTTGTATTTGTGTCTTATACAAATATATATTTGAATTTTGTAGAGAATCATAAAATTGTTTTGTAAGGATTATGAAATGATGAGACTTCAGTATCTAATTTGAGATAAATAAATGTCTGTGTCTAGGGTATAATGTGTTTTGGGACACCTGCCTGGATGACTAAATTCCCTTGTATTTATTTGCATAATTAGAGAGTACTGACTCATGATTCCCATTGTTTCTTGCTAATGTGGGAAAACACGAGGAGAATTAAACTAAAATATAACAGCAAATATAGTCAACTACGTGTAAGACAGTATACAGCTCTTGATTTCATTTCAGTCCATTATGTCATCTGGGATCAGCTTCAAGATAATTGAGAAGAGAATGAGAAAGGGTATAGATACAACAATATAAACTATTAGTTAATATTAGCTGAAGTTGAGTGAGAGTATATTAAATTCATTTTATAATTCTCTGCACCTTTGGAAAATCTCCCACAGAAAAAAGTAGGACAGAAAGTGTAACATTTTATTCAAAACATGAACTTCTCTTAAGTTCAAATGTTAAGTCAAATGTTTAACAGTTCTGAAAGCAATCATGTGATTCAAACTCATGACTAATTTCCTTAAAGTTAAGAAGGAAGTAACTTTTCCTTGTCACTAATTTAGTTACCCTGAGATGTAGTTTATATCAGAAAAAGATAAATACTTGATCTTTATTATACCAATTTTTAAAATAATAAGTTGGTTCTCTAGCATCCTCCAAAGTTGGCCAACATTACCGATTTTTGTGTGTGTGTGTGTGTGTGTGTGTGTGTGTGTGTGTGTTTTAGACAGTCTCACTCTGTTATCCAGGCTAGAGTGTAGTAGCTTGATCACAGCTCACGGCAGCCTGGACCTCCTGGGCCCAGGTGATCCTCCCACCTCAGCCTCCCAAGTAGCTGGGACCACAAGTGCATAATTTTTTATAGAGACAGTCTCATTATGTTGCCCAGGCTGGTCTTGAACTCATGTACATAAGCAATACGCCTACCTCAGCCTCCCAAAGTTCTGGGATTATAGGTGTGAGCCATGACGTCTGACCAACTTTTCTTGTTTAGCAATATATATGATTTGGTTTTTGCCTGTATCCATGTATATATGTCTCTCCTGCCTTCTCTCTCTGTTTTTTGACTAAATATAGGCTTAATCTTTTGGCAGTTAAGTATTCTTTTTCTCTTTTTTTGGAGATAGAGTCTTGCTTTCTCACCCATAAGCTCACTGCAACCTCTGCCTCCTGGGTTCAAGCAATTCTCATGCCTCAGACTCCCAGGTAGCTGGGACTACAGGTGTGCACCATCACGCCCAGCTAATTTTTTGTATTATAGTAGAGACGGGGTTTCGCCATGTTGCCCAGACAACTGTTCTCAAACTCCTGAGCTCAGGCAATCCACCTGCCTCGTCCTCCCAAAGTGCTGGGATTCCAGGCGTGAGGCACTGCGCCTGGACTCTTTTTCAAAATTCTTGTTTCAAGTGTGGATAATGTAGTTACACATGGAAATTGTTGGTTCCACCCATTGTGAATACAAAATGTTTGAATTTGATTTGGTCCCTTGGGAATTCTTTTTGAGGCATTTGGAGGCAGAACCATAAGACAGAGCAAACTGAAATGCTTAACATTGCTTTTTAAGAACTAGCAGAGCTTTTTCATTCACTGTGTATGGCTCAAAGTTGAGAATTTCCCTAGAGACTATGTGCCTGTTGCATTATTAATTATCCTGTGTTTAAGCCATTTAAGTCCAAACCAAGTTACTAGTTCATAAACCTTTGTTTTCCTTATCTTTAATGTCACAGCAGGTCACGGTGGCTCACGCCTGTGATCCTAGCACTTTGAGAGGCAAGGTGGGAGGATTACTTGAGCCCAGGAATTCAAGACCAGCCTGGGCAACATAGTGAGACCTCATCTCTTTTAAAAAAAAAAAAAAAAAAAAAAAAAAACAGAAAACAGAAATCCTGGTTGGGCACACTGGCTCACACCTATAATCCCAGCACTTTGGGAAACCAAGGCGGGAGGATCACTTGAGCCGAAGAGTTCGAGACCAGCCCTGGCAACATAGCAGGACCTCGTCTCTACAAAAAAGAAAATTTTTTGAGACAGAGTCTTGCTCTCTTACTCGGGCTGGCACGATCTTGGCTCACTGCAACCTCCGCCTCCCAGGTTCAAGCATTCTCCTGCCTCAGCCCCAAAAATTTTTTTTAAACTAGCTGACCAGCCGAGCACGGTGGCTCACACCTGTAATCCTAGCACTTTAGGAGGCTGAGGCTGAGGCGGGTGGATGATGATGTCAGGAGTTCAAGACCAGCCTGACCAAGATGGTAAAACCCCGTCTCTACTAAAACTACAAAATTAGCCGGGTGCAGTGGCAGGCACCTGTAATCCCAGCTACTCAGGAGGCTGAGGCAAGAGAATCGCTTGAACCCAAGTGGCAGAGGTTGGAGTGAGCCAAGATAGCACCACTGCACTCCAGCCTGGGTGACAGAGTGACACTCCGTCTCTAAGAAAAGCTAGCTGAGCATGGTAGCATATCCATATAGTTCCAGCTATTCAGGGGGCTGAGGTGGGATCACTTGAGCCTGAGCCTGGATGGTTGAGGCTGCGGTGAGCTATGATCGTGCAACTGCACTTTAGCCTGGTGACAGAGAGAGACACTATCTCTAAAGAAAAGGAAAAAGTTGGGCCGGGCGCAGTGGCTCACGCCTATAATCCCAGCACTTTGGGTGGCAGAGGCGGGCGGATCAAGAGATCAAGACCATCCTGGCTAAAATGGTGAAACCCCGTCTCTGCTAAAAATACAAAAAATTAGCTGGACGAGGTGGCGGGCGCCCGTAGTCCCAGCTACTCGGGATGCTGAGGCAGGAGAATGGCGTGAGCCCGTGGGGCGGAGCCTGCAGTGAGCCGAGATCGCGCCACTGCACTCCAGCCTGGATAACTGGACAAACAGACATTATATCTCATGATAGAAATACACACACACAAAAAAGGAAAAATTCCACCAAGTGAGTGGAATATGAGTCAATGTCATGAGGAAATAAACATTTTTCCTGTAGTGAAAACTTATTTGCTGGGTGCGGTGGCTCACACCTGTAATCCCAGCACTTTCGAAGGCCAAGGTGGGTGGATCACCTAAAGTCAGGAGTTCAAGACCAGCCTGGCCAACATGGTTAAACCCCGACTCTACTAAAAATACAAGAATTAGCTGGACCTGGTGGCACACACCTGTAGTCCCAGCTACTGGGGCAGCTGAGGCAGGAGAATTGCCAAGATTGTGCCACTGCACTCAAGCCTTTGTGACAGAGTGAGAGCCATCTTAAAAAAAAAAAAAAAAAAAAGAAAAAGAAAACTTATTTATCCTGGGCTGGGCGCGGTGGCTCACGCCTGTAATCTCAGCACTTTGGGAGGCCGAGACGGGCGGATCACGAAGTCAGGAGATCGAGACCATCCTGGCCAACACGGTGAAACCCCATCTCTACTAAAAATACAAAAAAAAAATTAGCCGGGCGTGGTGGCGGCGCCTGTAGTCCCAGTTACTCGGGAGGCTGAGGCAGGAGAATGGTGTGAACCCGGGAGGCGGAGCTTGCAGTGAGCTGAGATCCGGCTGAGAGCCTGGGCGACAGAGCCAGACTCCATCTCAAAAAAAAAAAAAAAAGAAAACTTATTCATCCTAATGTTTAGTTTTCAAAGGGCTTCCTGACCACAATTTGTTAAAAGTTTTAACTCAACAGAAGAAACACTGTATTTAAATTAAAGCAACTTCTGAAGTTCCAGAAGATTTCCTAGAGAATTTTTATCTATACTGTTGAATTTTTTTTTTTTTTTTTGAGACGGAGTCTCGCTCTGTAGCCCAGGCTGGAGTGCAGTGGCCGGATCTCAGCTCACTGCAAGCTCCACCTCACCGGTTTACGCCATTCTCCTGCCTGCCTCAGCCTCCCGAGTAGCTGGAACTACAGGCGCCCGCCACCTCGCCCGGCTAGTTTTTTGTATTTTTTAATAGAGACGGGGTTTCACCGTGTTAGCCAGGGTGGGTTTCACCGTGTTAGCCAGGGTGGTCTCGATCTCCTGACCTCGTGATCCACCCATCTCGGCCTCCTCCCAAAGTGCTGGGATTACAGGCTTGAGCCACCGCGCCCGGCTTTTTTTTTTTTTTTTTTTTTTTTTAAGATAGAGTCTTGCTCTGTTGCCAGGCTGGAGTGCAGTGGTGCCATCTCAGCTCACTGCAACCTCCGCCTCCCAGATTCAAGCGATTCTCCTGCCTCAGCCTCCAAAGTAGCTGGGACTACAAGTGCGCGCCACCACAGTCAGCTGATTTTTGTATTTTTAGTAGAGATGGGGTTTCACCACATTGGCCAGGATGGTCTCGATCTCTTGACCTCGGAATCTGCCACCTGGGCCTCCCAAAGTGGTGGGATTACAGACGTGAGCCACCATGACTGGCCACTGGTGAATTCTTATTACCAGATCATTTAGATATCAGAAAGGCGGGGGGGCACAAATGATAAAAATAACAGAGTCTAAGTAGAGATTCTAGAGAACTAAAATTTACTTAATGTCTACGATGCACCAGGTGTTGTATCAAGATTTTTTTTTTTTTTTCCATAGACAGGAATCTCACAATGTTGCCCAGACTGGCCTCAAACTCCTGGGCTCAGGTGATCTTCCTGGCTCAGCATCCTGAGTAGCTATGGCTACAGGTGCGTGCCACTGTGCCTGGCTTGTCTTAAGGGTTTTATGTGTATTATCTTGCCTAGCATCAGATAGGTCAGAATTAGAGCCAGGATTCAAACTCTTATTATTTTGGGTATGTAGCATATACTTTCCCCCAATATATTGCTCTCAAAATGCTTCTGGTGATATAGAAGAGTATGGATTTGATCTATTAAGTGTCACCGTTGAGAACAGAACCTCATTGTAAGTATTTTGGTTTTTCACCTAGGGTATCGGTACAGCAATTGGAGAGCTGCCTCCATATTTCATGGCCAGAGCAGCTCGCCTCTCAGGTGCTGAACCAGATGATGAAGAGTATCAGGAATTTGAAGAGATGCTGGAACATGCAGAGTCTGCACAAGTAAGAACAGTGGGGACAGAAAATAGAACACTTTACTTATTCCTAAAGAGGCTATTAAGGTAAAACTGTTAGTAGTTACTCTGAAGAACAAAACTGCTAAAGTAAAAAAAAAAGAAAGAAAGAAAAGTACTACTTGATATAGAATATTTAGAAAGGTCAAAATATAAAAGATAATCTTGATCTTAGAATAGAAAATTACAGAAAAATGCAATAAGACAACTCTTAATACACTAAAACACCTTGTCAGAAACCAGGGTAAATTAATGTTGCCAGTGATGTTAAGGAGCTGAAACTTGCTTTTTCCATTGTTTGTTTAGAGATATTACCAAGCAGACTGCTGCTTTGAGTCCAAAATAATAGAACTTCTGAATTAATTGTTAAACATAACATCAAAGGCCAGATGTGGTAGCTCACTCCTGTAATCCCAGCACGTTGAGGACCCAAGGCAGGAGGATTGCATAAGCCCAGGAGTTTAAGGCTGCAAGTGAGCTATGATCATCCCACTGTACTCTGGCCTAAGCCACAGACCCTGTCTCTAAAAAAAAAAAAAAAAAGAAAGAAATAAATCTTACTATATGGCTATATCTATAGTGGCCCTTTCCTCCCTTGAAAGCAGCTTCATTCTGTATTCCACAGAATGTGTAGAGCTGCTGAAATGTTTGCTAAGGGAGTATATGAATTATATCAAATTCTTAAGTAGTTACTAAAACTTTAAACTAGTAAGCAGTATGTAGTAGTATATATGACAATAGTAATAGTAGAACTTTTTCTTTCTTTGCTTCTTTCTTCCTTTTTTTTTGTTTTGTTTTGTTTTGTTTTTGATTCAGGGTCTCACTCTGTCACCCAGGCTGGAGTGCAGTGATGTAATCATAGTTTACTGCAGCTTCAAACTCTTAGGCTCCAACCGGGTGTGGTAGCTCATGCCTGTAATCCCAGCATTTTGGGAGGCCAAGGTGGGTAGATCACTTGAGCCTAGGAGTTTGAGATCAGCCTGGGCAACAGCGAGACCTTGTCTCTACAAAAAAATTTTTTTCTTTTTTTTTTCTTTTTTCTTTTTTTTGAGACGGAGTCTCACTCTGTTGCCCAGGCTGGTGTGCGGTGGCAGTCCCGAGTGGCTGGGACTATAGGCGCCTTTGTTTAGTAGAGACGGGGTTTCACCATGTTAGCCAGATGGTCTCGATCTCCTGACCTTGTGATCCACCCGCCTCAGCCTCCCAAAGTGCTGGGATTACAGGCATGAGCCACCACGCCTGGCCTGCAAAAAAATTTTTAAGCCGGGCACGGTGGCTCACGCCTGTAATCCCAGCACTTTGGGAGGCCGAGGCGGGCAGATCATGAGGTCAGGAGATCAAGAGCATCCTGGCTAACACAGTGAAACCCCGTCTCTACTAAAAATACAAAAAATTAGCCGGGCATGGTGGCGGGTGCCTGTAGTCCCAGCTACTCGGGAGGCTGAGGCAGGAGAATGGCGTGAACCCGGGAGGCAGAGCTTGCAGTGAACCGAGATCGTGCCACTGCACTCCAGCCTGGGCAACAGAGCCAGACTCCCTCCAAAAAATAAAAATAAAAAAATAAAAATAATTTTTAAAAAGCTTAGCTGGGCCTAGTGGCGCATGCTTGTAGTCCTAGCTACTTGGGAGGCTGAGTTGGGAGGATCACTTGAGACTGGGAGGCAAAGATTGCAGTAAGCCCTGATTGTGCCACTGCACTCCAGCCTCGGCGACAGAATGGGACTGTCTCAAAAAACACAAAGTTATTCACCAGCCTCAATCTCTCAAGTAGCTGGGACTACAGTTATGTACCACTATGGCCAGCTAATTTTTATTTTTTGTAGAGACAGGGTCCCACAATGTTGCCCAGGCTGGCCTCATCTAAACTCCTAGGCTCAAGTGATCCTCCCACCTTGGCCTCCCAAAATGCTGGGGTTACAGGCGTGAGCCACCATGCCTGACCTGAACTTTCTTTTTGAATAATATTTAACAATTCAGACTATTCAGCAGTTCAGTCTTTCCTTTGCCTCAGTCAGATTAATGAATGCCCTGGAGTATTCTAGACAGTGTCCTCAAGATGAGCAAGGTAAACTTTCAAAACAGAAAAATACTAAATGCTAGGCCTAGGCAAGCAATAACATAATTGGTTGAGGCTTTTTTGACCTAATCACAATCTGTGTATCAGCCTCTATCTCAATTATCTCAACAGAGTGTTTCGTTTTCAGGAAAATTCCTAAGAACATTGTTGAAAGATTGAATCTCCATCTTCAAGTCAGATAGGCTTTTAAAAAATGCATTATTACCCAGAACTTTGGGAGGCTGAGGCAGGAGGATTGCTTGAGGCCAGAAATTCAAGACCAGCCTGGGCAACATGGCAAGATCTCATCTCTACAAAAAATGAAAAATTAGCTGCGTAGGATGGTGCATTTCTGTAGTCCCTGCTACTTGGGAGGCTAAAGCAGGAGCATTGCATGAGCCCAGGAGGTTGAGGCTACAGTGAGCTACATTTGCACTACTGTACTCTGGGCAACAGAGCAAGACCCCACTGAAAAAAAAAAAAACAAGAAGCATGATGAAATAGAATTCAACCAAGTATGGTTATAGTTTTTAATTAAATACAAAACTTTCAAATGTGAATTTAGAATAGCCAGATATAAAACAAATGAAATAAAGAGCCATGAACATCTGTTCTTTGTGAAAAGAGCAAGTTGCTCTGGTACCTGCTTTGCCTTATCTGCCAACCAAATATTATGCCTGTCATGACATCATAATGTTTATATTAATGCTAATAATTATTACAAATATAAACTTTTTAAATTATTTTTAGCATTTTAAAAATCCAATATCTAATATGACCCTTGTGTTAACTCTGAGGGAGTTTGGAAAGGTACCATTCTTCTAATTTTATAGAAAACTGTAGATCTAGTTGTTACTTCCCAAATTTCACATACTTATAGGTAGAACAAAAACTCAGAATGCCAGCATTACTGGTATATTCCGATTACTGAAGCCAGTCTGTCCACAGAAGTAGATGGGTGAGACTTGTGACAACTGATAGTTCTTTGAGTTATGGCACTAACTAATGTATATCATTTAACATCTCTAAAATTCTTTTTTTATCTATATGAAATCAGCAGGTTGAAGTGGAATAAGTATAAGGTGGCTTACAGCTACACATTTTTATGCTATGACTTGGATTCCAAATGGGTATGAGAGTTATTCTCTCATAAGTAAACTAAGGTACTATGATTATTTCTCCTTTTTTTAAAAAAAAGCTTTTTTTCTTGGAATTAACATTTTCAAATTTGCATAATCTCTTTAAATCCCTGGCTTGCCTTCTCTCCCCTCCAACAGCTCTGTAAAAACACCTCATGATAACACAAATAAAATTATATCAACTCCATTTTTTTTTTTTCGTGAAGTGATATCTCTGGAGCCCTCCCTGCTCCCACTTCATTCTGGAATTGCTATTCAGTTGGCCTTCCGCACAGTTGCTTCTGTCTTGGTTCAGATTTCTTGTCTTCCTCCTTCTTAATTTACACCCTCATTTTGCTTGAACATATTCTGCTGTAACTTCCTGTGAAAGGGGGAGTAAATGGAAAAATGTGATACCTTACATTCTAAACTAACATGTTCTTCATTCACAATTAATTAACTGAATATAGGATTGTGGGTTGAAAATCACTTTCTATACTTAGAATTTGGAAGGCATTGTTCAATTGTCTTCAAGTTTCTGTAATTGGTATCCAGAGGACTGATGCCCTTCTGAGTCCTCTTTATAAGCAGTCTACTTTTGTTTTGTTTGTTTGTTTTTCCCTCTAGAAGCTTTTAGGTTCATTATCTGAGGTATAGTCTTTTTAAAATGTATTCTGGGTTTGGCACGGTGGCTCACACCTGTAATCCCAGCATTTTGGGAGGCCGAGGTGGGTGGATCACTTATGGTCAGGAGTTCAAGACCAGCCTGGCCAACATGGTGAAACCCTCTCTCTACTAAAAATAAAAACAAATTAGCTGGGCGTGGTAGCATGCGCCTGTAGTCCCAGCTACTTGGGAGGCTGAGACAGGAGAATTGCTTGAACCCTGGAGGCGGAGGTTGTGGTGAGCCAAGATCATGCCACTGCACTCCAGCCTGCACGACACAGCAAGACTCCATCTCAAACAAAACAAAAAACAAATAAAATGTCCTCTGATAGGTGCTCAGAAAACTTGTTCCTTAGTTTTGGAAAATATTCTTGTATTTTTTATGTGAGAGTTTTCCCTCTTTAGTCTCTATTCTTGCTTCCTGGAATTCTAGTTGCTTCAATGTTAGGCCTTCTATGCCCATCCTTTTAATTTTTTAAACCTTTTTGCTTCTAATATTTATCTCATTTTACTACCTATGAGATTTCCCAAGTTTATCTTCTAAGTCTTATATCAAAATGTTTTTCTGCTGTTACATATTTATTTTCAAAAAGCAGTTTGTATGTATTTTTCAGGCATCATCTTTTCTTTGTTCAATTTGGAGTTTGAGGCTTTCCTCAAAGCCTGATAATCCTTATTTATCTGTTTATATGAGAATAAGACACTTAAAAGCTAAGTGGAAGCTGTGTGTGTAGAGGCCAGGTGTAGGATGGCGAGGCTTCCCTATTGTACAGTCAAGTGGCATCCAGGCTTAATATTTACTGAGAACCTCCATGTATCAGTGTCTATTGATCTTTTCTTGGCGATAGTTCAGTTTCTCCATGATGGATCCTTCAATTTCTTGCCTAGGCAATACAGACAGTCCCTGACTTACAATGGTTCGACTTACGTTCACCTTTACAATGGTATGAAAGTGATATACATTCAGTACAAACCATAGGTCAAATTTTGGATTTTGATCTTTTCCCGAGCTAGCGATATGTGGTACCATACTCTCACTCAATGCCAGGTAGAGCAGTGAGCCACAGCTCCCAGTCAGCCAGGTGATCATGAGGGTAAACGTCCATACTCTGCAGTATACTGTAATTTTGCCCAACTATAGGCTAATGT